CCATTTTGTTTGTCTTTTTGTCAGTTTGTGCTTTATTTATTTATTTGATTTTTATTTATTTATTTTTTTACTATTTTGGTTTAATGTTTATTTCTAAAAAAAAAAAGTTTTAGCTCAGTTTTGATTTAGATACAGTTATGAATGTTAATGCTTCGACTTAAACTAATTTCAGTAACTTGCCAAAGTTGTTTAGTTCAAGTTTTTCGTTCATTTTTATTTTGTTCTATTTCAGTTAACAAATGAGTTTTTAATAGTATTAGTGAACTAAAATAACTGATTATAATGGATATTCTTTTCTCAGCTGAAGCTTTAAGATAATACACAGATAATGCACTATGATATACTATACATGTTGGGGTCCTGATTCCCATGTCTGGGTTTATTTTGCAATAATAATCAGCTGACTGTACAGTTTTCCACACATTATTATAGTATGTTTCACCTAAGGCTTCAACTTACAACTATTTTAATCAATGTTCAATCTGTTGATGATCACTTTGATTAATCAGATTTTCCACAATATGTTTTAAGACAATACAAAGCATCAGAACCATTTAAGTGCCAACCTAAAACATTTCAGCTAACATTATGTAACATATGTAACATTATTTACTTGTATGAAGAGCCACATTCATCTGTTTTTAATCGACGTTATGGCAAAACAAGCTCAACATCTTGACTCTGAGATCATCTGAATGGCATTTTAAGTGGTGATATAAATACTGCAAAAGTGTGTATTAGTTTCCTGATGTTTATCTAATCAATATTTTAAAACTGTGTTGGTACATAAAGAAGGAAAGGCTGTGTAATGATGTGCCATAAAATGCTTTGCCAACGTTTGTATTGTGTACTGGACCCACAGATGGGTAACTGCAGCCCTGGAGAACACTGTTTATTTGCATGCATAATCTATTTTGTTTTGTGCTCAAAAAAGTAACTTTATTTTGAAAAAAAAAATGTAGTTTTATGACAAAACAAGCACAAAGGGCCAGTTTTGCTAACAGCTTGTGCCAGTGCAAACCGTCTTTTGGCGTTAAAATAGTACTGTCAGGATTTACTAAAGATGCGCAGTGACGAATCAGCGCTGAAAAGGTGTGGACAGTTATTTTTGCACCTGACCTTACTGAATATGCATTTGTAGGAGTTTCCCTTTCAGATGCAAAATTTATGGGAGGAGAGTATTCCAATGAATCAAGCAACGCGTTTTACTAACGTCTGTGCTCGTCAAATTACTGGCAATTGCGCCATTTTTTAACGGCCAAATAAAGCATGTCTTAAACTATTTAGCGCTTGAAATGTCTGCCATTATTGTTGCAGAGAACAGAGAGCGTGTGGTAGAAGGGAGAGGATTTTTTTCCACACAAATTATTTTGAATGCCAGAAGAACACATTATCCGAACATATCGTTTGCCAAGCCATGTTATTTTTAATTTGCTTCAGGAAATAAAAGGCGACTTGGATCCCCTAACTATAGAAGTCACACAATACCAGGTCTATCAAAACCTTCATTTTGTGGCCTCCGGTTCTTTTCAACACACTGTGGCTTCTTTATTTCTTTATTTGCGACTACGCTAATTTGCGCTGCACTTGGTATATTGCGTTGGTCGATATGTAAATGAGATTTATTCTTTATTTGCGACTATGCTAATGTGCACTGCGCTTGGTATATTGTGTTGGCTGATTTGCAATTTAGATGTGTGTCTGTGTTCTTTAATTTGCACGTTGTTAGTAAATCACCCGCTGAAATTTCTACACCCATCGGTGCTGTTTTGGAATTGCGCTCTCGTGCTAATTTGCCCTGTTTAGTAAACTGGCCCAAAGTCTCTTAAAATAAACAGTAATCCTAACACTGAGATGATCTGTATGACATTTCAGCAGAAACCATAGAATAGACGCGAGAGTGTAGTGAAGTGAAGTGACATGTGGCCAAGTATGGTGACCCATACTCAGAATTAGGGCTCTGCATTTATCCCATCCTAAGTGCAGACACACAGCAGTGAACACACACCCGGAGCAGTGGGCAGCGCCCGGGGAGCAGTGCCTTGCTCAAGGGCACCTCAGTCGTGGTATTGAAGGTGGAAGAGAGTGCTGTACATTCACTCCCCCCACCTACAATCCCTGCCGGTACGAGACTCAAACCCACAACCTTTGGGTTATGAGTCCGACTCTCTAGCCATTAGGCCACGACTTCCCCAGTAAATGCACCATATTAATATTATTTCCGTCTCTTGCAGGGTGACGACTTCTACGGATGTGTTGGTGTCGATCTACGTGATCTTCGCCATGTCCTTCATCCTGGCCAGCTTCGTCCCCTTTCTCATCCAGGAGCGCGTCAGTAAATCCAAACACCTGCAGTTCGTGAGCGGCGGCAACCCCTCCGTCTACTGGCTGGCCAACTTCGCCTGGGACATGGTACACCAGAAGCCCTTCTGCTCTGGAAGACGGATGGGACGGGGACAGGCTCGCGAGAGCTAAAAAGAGGAGCTGAGATAGCTAATTAAAACTCTATTAAAACTCTATCAATTTCCCGCTGAATCCTGTTCACCGCCTCCATTGGTCTAGACCGCGAGACTCTCTTGTCATGAGCTACAGTCTCAGCGGAGAGAGATGATTTCACCTTCCCTAATAAATCGCTAATAAATCAATTAGTGTCAAGGGAGATAAAAAGAGGATTCGCAACACATACAGCGCAAAAAAAGACTGAACTGAAAGCACAATAATAATTCAAAACTATATATTTGTTTATTTTTTAAAACCGTCAGGGCTACAAAAATGTATATACCGTATAAAGAATAGTATTTAAAAATTAATAATAGGTGTATTTTACAGTACAGTTGTAAAATTACAATACTAATATTTGTGTCATAATTTTCTTAATTTTCAAACATTACACCATTGAGCTTTTATTTTGGTGAAATATTATTCATTCTAAAAGCATGCATAGTTTAGCCAAAAAGTTATTATTTATTAATTAAAATAATAATACTAATTATAATAAATAACAAACAAAAGAAGAAATATTACTATAAATGTAAGCCAGTAACATAGTAAAAAGCAATAACTATAACTATATCTGCATCCACTCCAGCAGACTGTGATATTAATTATAATTGTATTTTGTAGTACAATTGTACTATTCATAATTTCTTCATTTTCAAAAATGAAAGATTGAGCTTTATTTTGGGCTAAGCTTGTCTAATTATTATTTTGGTCTAAGCTTGATGCCAATAGATTTATAAACGCTTCTTATTAAAAATATAATGTTCAGAGCGTTTTGTAATTTCAAATGCACATTTTAAGCGACTCAAACTCACAACACATGCAGGAAAGGAGTTTGATGATGAGATGCTGGAAAACCGTATCGTGATAGCTGTGATAGTAGTCAGATTAATAAATATTAAAGCAGAAGCAGTTTGATTGTGCTGTGTGTTTTATGATGTGTTTCAGTGTAATTATATCGTGCCGTGTATCATCGTCATCATCGTCTTCCTGTGTTTCCAACAAAAATCATACGTCTCTCCACCGAACCTGCCTGCCCTCATACTGTTGCTGTTGCTCTACAGGTGTGTGTGTGTGTGTGTGTGTGTGTGTGTTTGTGTGTGTGTGTGTGTGTGTGTGTGTGTGTGTGGTTTTATTTCATCTAGAGGTTGCTGTTCAGCCCATCCTGATGTTAAAGACACGTTCACACCAACTATAATGAGAACTACATTAGCATCCACACCTATAAAGATAACTAAATTAGTGTCCACACCAACAGACGATAATGTTCTGTTTATTTTCTGTTTAGTTAGGGCTGTACAAAATTTTTTATTTTTCTCATC